GCTAGCTTGTCCTGAGTCTCTCGTCTTAAGAAAGCTTCACAACCCCAGACTTTAATATGTGCTAACGAGGGAACTTTCCCTGTCCACATTTCGTGAGGTGTTTTGGCAACCTTCTTTCTAGGGACAAGATTGAGGATGTGGGCGGCTGTCTCTAAGGCATACCCCCATAAATGAATGGGAAGTGAAGCACAACTCATCATAGAACGAACCATGTCTAACAAGGTTCAATTACACCTCTCATCCACACCATTTAACTGTGGTGTCCTAGGAGGAGTTAATTGTGAAACTATTCAACATTCATTTAGATAGTCGTTGAACTCGATACTAAGATACTCTCCGCCTCTATCGGATCTAAGTACCTTTATCCTCCTGCCCAATTGATTCTCGACCTCATGTTTAAACTCTTTGAACTTTTCAAAGGTTTCTGACTTATGTTTGATTAAGTAGATATAGCCATATCTGCTATAATCATCATTAAAAGTCACATAAAATCGATTAACATCCCTTGTAGTTGATCTGAAGGGTCTACATACATCTGTATGTATGAGGTCCAACAGACCTTCACCTCTTTCACAAGACCCTGTGAATGGTGATTTTGTCATCTTTCCCAAAAGACAAGATTCACACATATCATCTGATTTTAGGTCAAATCACTATTAGAAAAATAGCCTTTTACGACGCGCAAACCACGACACTCATTGATTTATGTTACGCAAAAGAGAGTGACATTAAAAAAGTGTCATCTCTTCAAAAAGCTTAAGGATTTAGGTCACACATTATTACGTGCCCTTAAATTAGTGTCTAATCCAAAAAAAACACGGAGGGCACCTATAATAAAATGGGTGTCGTCTATGGATGTCGCTTTATAAATTTTAATGGAACGCGCGTTCCATCCCTTAATAACCAGGGGGAAAATGAAATCCTAAAAAATTAAAAACCCCGCCTTCCTTTTTTCTCCTTTCCCTCTTGCCCTCTTTTCCCTCTTGCCCTAATTATCGACGCTCAAATGAAAAGGAAAGACTAGACGCAAAGTTGAAATTGGTCGGAGAATACAGTCTACGATGCAAAGTTGAAAAGGAACGACTCAGCAAAATCCGTAATGCTGCGAGAATGATTCTAACTCTTGAGGACAAAGATCCACGAAGAATCTTCGAAGGCGAAGCTCTCATGAGGAGGATGAACATGTATGGTTTGCTGGATGAACGTTCTTGCCCTCACTATTGAAAACTTCATTGAACGACATCTTCCAACCCTCGTCTTCATTGAACAGAGTATTTATCTTATAAAAAAATCATAGGGACCATTATCTAGGGCTTTTTTCAAGGAGTGCTCTCTGCAACATTCTCTACCTCGGCTCTCCTCACCTGCAAGCGACCTCAGCTCACCTTTTTCCATCGGAGACCTCATGCTCACCTCACCTTACCGGAGAGTGGCACGACTGCTCAAGTGTGACAACCCGAAAAATTTTAAATTTTTGTCTGGTAAAGCTCCGCCAGTCAACTCGACTGAGTGTCAAACTCATTTCTGCTATCATTTAGCCTCGTTTAGAGTCCATTTAAAGGTCCAAAGGTCAGTACATTCAAGCATTGAGCATAGGAATGGATCGCGTACACTTCTAGCATCAAAACCGGACCTTACACTCCAACAAGAGGAGTGTACGGTCGCACACTGGGTGTGCGGCCACACACCCCTCTCCTGGCAGCACACTCACGTGTATAAGTCTAGAACTCAACCTCCTTTCATCCCTTTTCACACTCCCAAGCCTAGAACACGATTTCTCTCTCAACTATCATCCGATTTTCAGCCTAGATCTTCAAGAATGTAAGTGTTCTTCACTTGATTTGTTGTTAATCCTTCCAAGCTAGTAACACTCTTTGATTTCATCCATTGGAAATCATGTTTTGACTAGATCTTCAAGTGTTCTTCAAAAACACCAAGAACACCTACTAAGTTCTTGGGCTCCAAACACCCCCATACACTTATACACTGTAAGTACCCTACTCCTACATGTTATTTGCTAGATTTGAACCATAGAAAACGCCCAGAACTTGATCTGCAAGGAGTGTGCAGCCGCACACACTCATGTGGCCGTACACCCCTTATTTTGGTGCTTTAAGACCCCAAACTCAAGTAGTATTCTAGCACATGATCAAAGACACTTAGGGGACGCAAGTTATGACCTTGGAAATACGTTTTGCACCATTTTTGCTAGGAGTGTGCGGCCGCACACTCCATGGCCACACACACACGACCGCACACGCCATGTGTAACCGCACACACCCTTTTAGGGTCGAAAATGGCAACAAACTTCCATTCCGGCTAAGCAATGGTCATTACACCTTCCCTAGAACATTCCTAAGGCTTGGAAACACGTTTTTGACACACTTCATAGTGAGTATGCGGCTGCACACACACTTGGCCGCACACTCTAGCAGCACACCCATCAATATGGCCGTACACTCCCATTTAGTGAATCACACGTGATTCCAACTCTTGGACAAAGTGTTTCCTAGTCCCGTAAGGTGTTTCTTTGCATTTGATTGCTTCTAAACACTATATTTATGTTGATATATGCCATTATATGTCATTTAGGACTCGTTAAGTCTCGGGACTCCATTCATAGAACTTCTCAGTTTTACGCGCGTATTCGTTGGAATCACCCACATCAGGTGAGTTCATACCCCGTACTGAATCTTTTAACTGTTTTCAATGTTTTAAGGGGGGGGGGGGGATACAAGTTGAATACAATAATAATTGTGTAAATGTTTGCTATAACTATTTTTCAAAAGATTACTTATGTCATTTATAAGTTGTCAAAACATTTCAAAGACTCTTTTCAAGTTATGTACTTTATAGTCTAACAATACTCCGTTTTTAAAGTACCAGCATAACTTAGTAGTAAAATGAGTCTTTTAACAACAATTCAAGTACATTACTAGTAAACTATAATAGGTATAGTTTAGAGTCAGTTCATACATGAGTCAAAACACACTATTTTGAGAAACATTTCACACTACACAGTATACAACAGAGTATACTATACACTAGTACAGAGATGTAAACATTTATACAACGACACATTTAATTTGTAACCAAGACACTGTGTTGTATCAATTTGTAACCAGAGTCTCCTGGAGGGAGAGCGGGCATCTTGTGTATAGATCTATACGGGACAGACACTCCCACACCCTGACTGCTAGCTACAGTCCCAGCCGTTAAGGCCAAGGGGTGACAAATGTCACCTCACTACATATGACACCGGAGGGTCATCTTTTATTCAGTCGTCGATCAGCATGGTTACATACGAGTTCACATTAAAACCTTTAATTTACCATTTTGCGATTAAAGGCTACTTTAGACTCCCCGAGGTGTATTGTACATTTAATACTACCTGGAGTCTGTATTTTATTCCTTTAGACTCCCCGAGGTGTATTGTCCATTTAATACTACCTGGAGTCTGTATTTTATTACTTAATAGCCAGCAGTGTTACTGCTGAGGTGAAACATTATTTTCCCTATACATTACTCTATGACCTCTTCATATATATATATTAATGTGTAAACTGTATATAGTTAATGAGAGTCTCACTTGGGAAAATACACACTCATGCAAGAAACAAACCTACATAACATTTGATGCCTTGGTAGAAGGTTACGTTAGGTAGAAAGGACCATAATGCTAACCTTATGATTCCTTAATGTATACATCAAAGGTTACATGTATATCAATAGGATCCGACAGGTATGTGTGCTCTCCGCTTCATTTCCTGTTCCTTGTTTGGTTGTGGGCTTGGAGCAGATTCACCCAAACTATTATCTATTCGATTCTAGATATATATGTCCAAGTATACATTGAGTCATCATAGGGGTACCAGGTATAGGTCAAGTCATAGGACACAGAGTCGATGCACAGTTTTCTAGTACAAAACATGCTTTCCAAATCAGAACTTTTGGTATACAAAACTAGAAACTTACCAGTTAAGGGATTAATCCATTTTTTAAAACCAGGATAACTTCAAGGACCTTAAGTGGATAACTCTATAATACCCTAGGTTATACATCAGAGTTATATATAATTAGTAACTGATAGATAGTTGGATGTGTGCCTTCCGCCTCATTTCCTGTTCCTTGTTTGGTTGTGGGCTTAGGGCAGATCCACACAATTAACTATCTGTTCGGTATTAGATTATATATAACTAGTATAAACCAAGTGATTATGAAAGGAACCATTGCGGTTACTATTTTATTATAAGAAATAAGAGTTTTCTTAAAGAATCTTTCTTCAAATATAAAGGAATTATTACAGTTAACTCCGTGAGTACCAAGGGAATACACCAGGGTTATACACAACAAGGATCCAACAACCAATTGGATGTGCGCCTTCGGCCTCATTTCCTGTTCCTTGTTTGGTTGTGGACTTAGGGCGGATACACACAATCGATTGTTTGTTTACTCTGAGTTTTATATGACTTGTATCCATTTAGTACGCATAGAAAGGACTGTAGAGTCATTTTACTTATCTTTCATCAAGACAGGAAATATAGGATTTCTTGGAGGAATAGGCGAACTTTTCTAATCAGAACTTACAACTCACTACATTTTCCAACTACATGTTTCAACAGCAGTTACTACAACATTTTACAACTTACTTACATCACTAAAATCTTATGAACTCACCAGCTTAATTGTTGATCAACTCTTTCAAATAACTTGTATTCTCAGGAGCCTAGTAGACAGGTACTCGTGTTGGGAATTCAGAAGATGGAGCAGTATAGCTTCAAGTCTTGATTGTTATTTGCTTATGTATTCTATGTTTTGTGAACACACACCTTGTAAACACTTTATTTCTAATGAAATGGTTGTTCATTACTTTGCTTACTATAATGCATGTCTTGTGATACTAAACATGACGTCCTCCACCCCAGAACGTTTCCGCCGTTCCGGTTTTGGGGTGTGACATCAAGTTTCCAACCCCTAGGGCTGATTAAGGTATGTTTATCATGATCTCGACACACCTCAACAACACCACTACAACTCATTCTCAGTCATCGTCTTACTCTGCTGACCAATGTTCTCCGTATCGCCTACTTCTTTCCTTCCCATGGTTCGCTAATCAGATCCGATTCGCCAAAGCTCACGAATCCATGTGAGTTCATCCCTTTGTGTTGTATCTGAAGAAATTAGAAAAGTTTATGATTAATGTTCATGAGAATTACTTGATTTACCTGATTGAAATCACTCTCCATAGACAAATGATTTGAGCACAAAAAAAGTGAATTTGGAAATTTTTTATCTGTTCACTCGTGAACCATGAGAGCAGGTAACCTGTTTGAATAAATGCATATGAGATGTTACTTTTAAAATTTCTGATTGCGATAGAAAAAAGAAGAAACCTATAGAGCATGTAACCTAGTTTCATATGTAATTTCATTAAGTTATTTAGCATACCTAACTAATTGAGGGTTAAAAGTTTGTTTTCATTACAGTTATTAAGCAAAAAGCTTGTAGTGGGTGATTTAGTTTTATTAGTTGGAGTTCACATGGTTATCAAAGTAGTTCGCTTTAGAGATTTGCTGGAGGCTGTTGTTGCTATATGCTAAACCCAGCAGCATATTGTTGTTGCTATGATAGACAAAGCTCATCATGTTGTTCTTGTGACAGTGATAATTCATTGCTAATACAGCTATGCATTTGAAAACAAATGCTATGTTGTGTTGGGTGGTTATTGGTAGTGTACTACATGTCACAAATATGCCAAATCTGAAAGGGTTCTTTTCCATTATAATGGTCATGGTGTACCTAAACCAATTGCCAATGGTGAAATTTGATTTTTAACAGGGTAATTATATGTTTTTATTTTGCACTATCTTTCTATCTTCATGCCTTGTATTCAATAGTTTCCCTAGACTAATTTCCTCTATTCTTCTCAAATGTTGTAGAGTTATACACAGTATATTCCATTGCCTATCAGCGACCTTGACTCATGGCTCAAGACTCCCTCCATATATGTTTTTGATTGTTCTGCTGCAGGGATGATTTCCAATGCCTTCATATAGGTATTATTAACTATTTATTTCTTGACAACATTGTTATTATTGTTTGACTAAATGCTTGAATATCATTTATATGTATATAGCTCCAGGATTGGACTCCCTCAAGTTCTTCTTCAGGAACTTCACCAAGAGACTGTATTCTACTTGCAGCATGTGAAGCACATGAAACCCTACCACAAAGTCATGAGTTTCCTGCTGATGTCTTCACTTCGTGCCTTACAACTCCCATCAAGATTGCCTTAAGATGGTTTTGCACTCGATCATTACTACATGAATCACTTGATTATTCACTTATAGATGGGATACCTGGGAGACAAACTGATCGTAAGACACTTCTTGGTGAGCTGAAATGGAGGTCATCTGCCTTTGTTTATTATTCACTTGATTGTTCTCATGTATCTTATCCAATGTTGCCTCCAACTCATCAACACCATATGATTTTATAATTCTTGAATCTTGATTATTTTGGTTATCGTTTGACCACGTGTCATTATAGGGATGTCACCAGCCTTCTCCTAAGGGGATGGTTCCCGGTGTATTTGTGTGGGCCCGAGTTTCCCTTTTGGTCAAACAAAGTTGGCTCGGATGGAGATTATCTATCCTCATTACCAAAAAAAGAGACATATATAGTCTCAATACCCAAACTTCATCTTTCTGTTTCTAAAATTAGAATGAATTGAAGAAAATGTACAAATGATTCTAAACTATTATATCTTTTTTGTTGGTGCAGAGTTTAAGTGGCCACACGAGCCCTATAGAATCTGTAACTTTTGATTCAACCCAAGTGTTGGTGGCTGCTGGAGGTTCTTCTGGCATGGTAAAGCTCTGGGAGTTAGAAGAGACAAAGGGTATTTATGACTTTTTATGTAATCACCTTACGTCTCTGTAGTACTTTTTTTTACTCGATGTCTAATTCTTTTTCTTTAAATGCAGTGTTTAGAACACTTAATGGACACCGATCCTACTACACTGCCTTGCAATTCCATTCTTTTGGTGAGTTTCTTGCATAAGTATCCATGGATACTAATTTGAAGATATGGGATATTCGAAAGAAAGGATGCATTCATACATATAAGGGTCACAAACGAGCAATTAGTACAATCAAATTTACCCCTGATGGAAGATGGGTGGTGTCTGGAGGACTTGATAATGTTGTAAAGATATGGGACTTAACTGCTGGAAAGCTCTTGCATGAAGGCCACATTAAATCAATGGATTTCCATCCTATTGAGTTTCTTCTAGCAACAGGTTTGTATCCATCCAACAATGGCTTCTATTTTCTTTCAATTTTTTAAATGTTTTTCTTGATGATGCATGTGTTAATTCAGGTTCATCAGATAGAACTGTGAAATTTTGGCTGTCTGAAAGGGAGGTGACGCCTGGATTTGGGAATGGATTTCAAGCTACTCCAAAGACTAGCACCACCAATCAGATTCACAAAGTTTATGGAAGCTCTGATCGTTTGCATTCTGCTCATACATGGTAAGATAATCATGTTTCTCTGTCAAATTACCTTTTTGCCCCTGAGTTATGTCACACTGCAAAAGAAGCATGCTACATTTTTCTATGTCAAATTACCTTTTTGCCCTTTAGCTATCTGCAGGCACTGCGAAATCCTTCATGAACTGTGAAAAATTTGGAGATTTCTAAGAGGTTGCAACAAGATCAAGAAGCTATGCTTCAACTTTTTCCAATGTTTTGGCTTTTGCAGCTGTATGGTAATTAAATTTATAGTGTATGTATGTTTTGGTTTGCATGTAGTCTTTGTTTGGCAGCTTGGACAAACTTGTAGCACCTGATCGTCCATGCCACTCTTGGAAAAACAAATTTATAGTGTACTTCTTCCATTCATGTTAGTAATTTCTCATTATGATGTGTTGTTTCTTGTGCAATTTTATTTTTAGGAGGTATTTTACTTTACTAAATGTTTAAAGTTACAGGACATGAATATGGGCACATCATGGAACATATTAGGGCAGTTGTTGGTCTTCCTCTTGGTGATCCATCAATGAAGTGGCCAACTTGCATCATGTAATAACATTTTAGGCGAAGATGTAGGTATATGTTTTTTAATGAATAATGTAATCATATGTATGAATATGAAATAAAGTTTGTTATTTACTATGTGATAATCATGTATAGGGAGAAAACAACTTCTATTGATTTGTTTTATTTTTCCATGGATCGATTATTTGTATGACATTAAATTTTATGCAATGGATTGTATTTTTTGTATATGTTATTTTATTTTTGTTATGATACATTAAATGCAAATTTAATTTGAAAATTAGTAAATCTATACATAATATTTTTTTTAAACATTTAAAATTACGATACGTAAAAATGTGTGTCATCTTCATTTATGACATGGCCTTTCTTGACAGGGGCTTCCTTGATACGCATTGTGTGTCATAAACAAGCACGTCGTAAGGTTACGACACGCAAATACGTGTCGTCTTCCTTTATGACAGGGCCTTCCTTGATACGCACTGCGTGTCGTAAATGCGTGTCATAAATGCGCGTCGTAAATGCGCGTCGTAAATAGACGATGCGCAAAAGCGTGTCGTCTCTCGTTATGACAGGGCCTTTCTTGACACGCATTTGCGTGTCGTCTGAGCGTTTTATGACATGCATTGCGCGTCGTAAAAGGCTGTTTTTCTAGTAGTGAATGATTCCAATACTTCATCCTTTTGGAGTTGGGCTATGCGTTTATTGTTAATGTGTCCAAGACGAGAATACAACAAGCATGCCTTGTCTACACCATTAGACAAGTCAACATTGAATACACTATTACCTAAGCTATCAACACAAGTCACTGTTTCATACACACCATCACAAGGTAAAGCTTCAAACACAAAAACACCATTCTTATAAACAGAAATTGAACCATTCAAATTATTAAAAGAGTACTTAAAACCTTGTTTGAACAATGCATGAAATGAAATAATGTTTCTCGTCATCTCAGATGAATAGCAACAATTCAATAAATCTAATCTAACATCATTATTAAGAAAAAGTTGATAAACTCCGATCTTGGTTACTGGTGAAGACTTTCTATCTCCCATGATGAGGTTTACCCTCCCTCGCTCCACCTCCTAACTTTCTTTTAGCCCCTGCAAATCAGAACAGATGTGAAAACTACATCCTGTATCAAAGATCCATGAACGAGAAGATAATGAGTTATTAGAAGAAATGGTGTAAATACCTGGTGAAGATGGCTTCACTTTGCCATCTTTTATGTCCTGCATATACTTTGGGCAACTTCGATTCCAGTTCCCTTTTTCATTGCAATAAAAGCAATCGGCATCTTTTGGGTCAGAAACATGGGGAATCACAACATTGGGCTTGGCCTTTGGGCTACTGCTAGATGACCCAGCTTGGGTCTTGCCCTTCCAATTTTTCTTAGGAGGACCTTTCCTCTTTTTCCCTTTCCCTGTCCAATAGCCAAGACAGGGGCACTAGCATGAGTGGAGGCTATACTTTTACCCTTCATTCCTGCCTCTGCTATCTGCAACAAGTTGTGCAATTGGGCCAATGTCAGCTCGGTGTTGTTCAAATGGTAAGTTAGGATGAACTGACCATAAATATCAGACAATGAGCTCAAAACCATGTCTATGGCCAATTCCTCATCAAATTTCACATTGAGCTTGACCAAACGCTCTATGTAGCATTGCATTCTTTGCACATGACTAACAACCGACTCCCCATCCTTCATCCTGCAAGCCATCGGTGACTTGACTACTTCAAACTTTTCTTGACGAGCTCGCTTATGGTACTTTTCCATAAGGTCCTTGTTTATCTCAAAGGGCCAGTTGTCCTCATAGTACCTTTGTAGTTCTGGGGACATGGTTGTGACCATGATGCATGCCACTTTGGTTGCATCATCATAGTGCTTCTTGTAGGCAACATATTATTCGGGAGTGGCTTTGGTTTCATCAATCTCTTTGAGCTCCTTTTAAAGGACATACTCTTTGTCCTCAAAACGAAGCGCCATTTTGATATTGCGCATCCAATCGTTATAGTTGGAGCCATCCATAACGACTTTGGAGCAAATGTTGAGCAAAGAGAAGTTGTGGTTGGAGGAAGATGAAGCAGAAGTGTTTCCAGGAGTAGACATCTGAAAAGAAAGATAGTTTTAGTTATATTTCAAGATACCTCAATATAATAACCCAAAGATACAATATTAAGGTTAGGATCCAACTATGAGGATTCACAACTTAGAAATGGGATGCGGAGATCCAAGTGTGAATTTCATAAAGGTAAGTGAATGACAATTCACTAATTCCACCAAAAGACGAAACGAACGAAGTGAAATTCCTAATTCTTTTGAGATACATTGAAACTATTCAATGACATGTTTTAATCTCGGATTATGCTATTCTATTTGTGATTGGGATACCGAGGATCACAAACAAAATGTGAATAACCATGAAAATATGATTGGTAACCTCATTGTCTTTATCATTATCTATTGATGTGCCGGTAAACCACGCACACTCCATCAACAATGATAATCATGAGATACCCATTATGAATCTTTATTAGTCCTAATTAGTGTGCCGGTTAACCACACGCGCTCCATTAACGACTTATAAAGCCTAATGTGCAATTTCATGGGTTAGCATACGTTTCACATTTTTCCTAAAGTAACTAGAGTTGGGATTTTTTTATAAAATAATGTTCCAATACTTTATTAATAACATTATACTTTTAATGAGATTAAGTTGTCCTATCAAATCCATTCTGCTAACGACCCTCCACTAATCAAGGAAGCGGTGAGTGAGAGTGGACACCCATTCAACTACCATTTTATAGGCAGTTTCCTTATACCCCCCTTATAGACTAGCTTCGTGGATGAGGCATACTAGCGATTTGAATGACCAATTCTTATACATATATAATATTTAACTTTTAATTATAATATATATAATGTGTGTTTTAAACTTTTTAAAACTTTAAGGTTTATATAAATTTCGAAAAGTAAACTATTAATTTAAATTTAAAATAAACCAAAACTAGATTTAATAATTATCTATTAATTAACTTTTAATTAAAATTAAATCTTGTAAGGATTATCTAATCAAATTAAACAATTAACTTAATCCTAATCCTTAACCCCTTATATTTCGAAAAATTAGGGAAAAGGATAATTATCCAATTAATACAATTAAGCAACAATTATCCAAACAAGAAACCCTAAAAAATCATAAGTATATTTCGAAATTCAAAGGAGGTGGCTAGGGTTTTTTCAAAACCCTAACCCTAATTTTCGATTAGGGTTTATGGAGGCTAGGGTTTTCAAAAACCCTTCAAGTTAAAACCCTAAAAACGAAAACCTTGGCCTTTAGGGTTTAATAACTATAAACCCTAATTTGCAATTCAACTATTATAACAATTCAATTTAAAACAAAACCAATGGCTTTAATACCACTGATAGATTTTAGGTAAAACAAATAAACTAGAAAAACAATTCCTAAGTTCACATGCAACCTACTTTGGATCTATGTTTTAACTATTGAACATATAACTTTGAGTTGAAAAACAAGAACCCTAAGAGAGGAGGCTATTTTCGAAATTAACCAATTATGGTTTTAGAGTTACATACCTTTCAGTTGTTATAGTAAACAATTGGTAATCCTTTTGATCTTGATTTTCTTAGAAGCTTAGCACCACAAATGCAATGCCTCTGATGGAATCACACCCAAGAACTAGCAAGAAGGAAACTAGTGAGGAGAGAGGCTAGGGTATGTAATTTTCGGCCTAGGGTTTCTTCAAGAGAAGGAGAGTGGCCCATTTTGGGAGCCACGAGGCTCCTTATATAGCTGAGGTATCTAGGGTTTAAGGAAAACCCTAATGTTCCTTTGCTTAGGGCCTAAGCTTATCCAAAGGCCTTATCCAAGCCCCTTGGACGAAATCATTAGGGTTTCCCCTATAGATTTCGTCCACCCCCTTCCAAGGAGGTTCTGGAACCTTCCACTCAACTATTTGATAATTGCAAACTAGTCATTGTACCTTATAATTCATACAATTAACCCCAAAATCAATTCCAATTAATTTCTGGCTAACTATTAATTAAACATTATGATTTCTAATTAATATATTAATCTTTTAACATATTAATAAATCATTTATATTAATTTATTAATCTTATAATAAATCAATATCTCTCCTTTCATAATTTCCTTGTCCGGTTGCTAGGTTTGAGGGCAACCCAAAAGGACTGTGTTGCTATTAATTCAAGTATATACCAATTATAGTTATGGGCTTAGACACCTAATCCAACAGAGCAGGGCTTTCCAGCTGACAGCAGAGGAGGCGCATGCAACTCTCAATGATGTGATGGGTATGTATCTTCTCCTTATCTCTTTATTTATATTGAATTGTTGCTTATGCTTATGTGTTTTATTTTAGGATCGTTCCTTGTGAACGGTATCTCTACTTTGGTATTATTTGATTCGGGGGCTACCCGATCTTTTGTATCGCTTGCACTTAGCAAGAGATTTGTTGGAGCTCTGGGGGAGCTGAATTGTCCCCTTGATATGGAGATTGTTGATGATATGACGATTAGGGTTGCAAGATTTCATCGGGGATTGTACTCTCCAGTTGTTCAACGAGCGATATCCAGTTGATC